AAATGTGCACCAGTGCAAGGTTAAATGAGTTCTAAAGCCACAGCACATACTTTCATTTTTATAGCATCGGCATTGTAATAGCAATACAAATGACAGTTATTTTTGACAATCTAATGTAAGCTTATTTGAAAATGATTTTATGCAGTGAGCGCTGCCTTTCTGTGAGCCATCTCCTTCAACAGCTTCCTGGATTTTCTGCATGCTTTTCAGACTTCTTCCCAGCTCATTACTTTGGACTTTAAAGACCATAGGGTCAATTTACTAAAGGTTACCGCATGCGATAACACGTGACGTGACTCATTTGCATAAATTATTGCATACAGTAACAAAATGTCCAATTCACAAAAAAAATAAACGATTCTGAGGTATTTAATGCAAAATTTAAAATGTGTCAGTAAATACCACAAAAAAAGCTGTTAAGTCCAATTTACAAACATAACAGAAAGTAAAAAAAGATGTGATATTTATCACCAGGGATTTGCTGGTGGTATCACATGCGGTATTTTTTCAGATGTAGCGGGACCTAAAGGGCCCATTATGGATGGGGGAGGGGAGCCCCACACTGTTTTTTTTCATTATTTGTAATTGCCTGCATGCTTTGTTTACATTCAGCTGTCAGTGGGATACTTACTGACAGCTGATGAGTCATCCATTGTTAAGGATGACACGGCTGGCTTCCTTAACCAGCTACCGTGTGATAAATTAGCTCATGAAAATATGCGACAATTACCGCAAGAGTTATTTACCACAAAATTCTTAGTGAATTGCACATTTGCAAAAAATTTACCACATGCGTTATTTTACCGCATTTTTTCAGTCGTTATTTAACTCATAGTCAATTGACACCCATGGGGTCAATACACTAGGAGATAAATAGTGCATGAATTTTTGAGTTAAAAAAACTCATGCGGTATTTATTTCGAAAGTAGTTAATTCACTAAAAAACATGCGTTATTTACCGAATGTGTAAAATATTTATGTTTTGCGATATTTAGCACTTTAATTTTGCATTATTTTTGGTGTTGTTTTTTCACAATTTTTTCTTTGCAGGCTAACATTGCACCAGAATGCACACAGCATTGACTGTGAAAAAAAATTATAGTGTGTTTTCATTCACAAAATGATGAAATGTTACAATGTATTTTCATTCCTGAGCTCAGAGGAGAACATTTTTACACTGATACATTGTATAGTTTTCACTTTCTGGCCACTGCAGAGTTCCTCTAATTCAGGGGCATTGAATTAAAATTCACAGAGGTCCAGTCACTAACATTTTCTTCCAGCTGAGGTCCGAATTCCACGTTTGCTTCTTAATGGCACCTTCGGCAAATCAGTATCGTGCAGCTCGATTTAAAAAAAAGGGCCAGGGACTTTTTTCTTTGCGTTTCTGCATGCAAGACAGCCCATTGAAATGAACAGGCTGCCTACATGCAGAACATAAGTAACAATGATGGAAACCTATCCTCAGATCTTTCAGGTCACAATCCTGTTATTAACAACAGTGTTAATACCCCCCCCCCTTAACATCACAGTTCCATCCCCTTTGCATCAAGATCAGCCCTTCACATCCATCACTCCGCCAATTAATATCACCTCACCTTCACATTCCTGTTCTCTGCCTCCTTTATATCAGCTCCCTCCTCCTTCGCATTACTGTCCTCGCCCCTCTTCATATCACACCTTTCACATCCCTGTTGTCACCCCCCCCCCTCTTTTGTATCACCCTCACCTCCTCTTTCAGTTTTCTGTCCCCCTTTATTTCAGCCTACTCCTTTAAATTCCTGTCCTCACCCCCTTCACTTTCCTGTCCTCACTTCTACCATTCCTGTCCTCCCCTTTATATTACCCCCCTCCTCCAGATTCCTGTCCTCTGTCCCCTTTCACATTATCCTTGGCTTCCCCCAAATCCAGCAGTGACTGTAGTTCCCATTCATCTCCTATCTACAAAGGGCAGAAGGTGGGAGGCACATCAGTACACAGCTGACATCGGAGGCCGGACAGCTCAAGATTGATGTCGGGAGGCACATCAGTATACAGCTGACATCGGAGGCAGGACAGCTCAAGATTGATGTCGGGAGGCACATCAGTATACAGCTGACATCAGATGCAGGACAGCTCCAGATGGATGGTGGAAGCTGCACAACTTTTCTTGCAACCAGTCATGTGCTGTTTAACTTTAAATGTTAACGTGACAGTTCCAGCCCTCCATCTGGAGCCTCCAATGTCCGTTCTAGACTGATGTGCCTCCTGCTATCCATCTGGCGTTGTTCTGTCTCCGATGTCAGTTGGCTGAGGACAACAGAAGTGATGGCAGCTGAGCGGAAGAGCTGGCTCTTAAATGGTGGGACTGCGTCCGGTCCGGATGGGACAGCAACCCGGTCCAGATCTGGACCGCGGTTCACCATTTAGTGATGTCTGTTCTAATTGTTATTTCGTACATTTCTAAAATGCCACCACCAAACACCAGGTGATGAATAACGAATGAATGTGTTTTTTAATGATTTATCTAATTTTTTTGCAGTATTTATCCCACTATTTTACCAAATGTGTGGTATTTACCTCATATTCGATATTTCACTTTGATTAACTGACTCTTTTATCTCATGCGATATTTCTGAAAAATGAGTCACGTGGTCTTAATATCGCATGCGGTAATCTTTAGTAAATTGACCCCATGTTACCCATGGTAATTTGCTGTCTCTTGAAACAACTTTCATCACTTCTGTAGTTCAGACAGCAAGCTCTGTGAAATGTGTGACACAAGCAGTAACAGGGCATAGTGCATGTGCCACTGTATTCAAGGAAATAAATGTATGGGATTTTTCAGACTTCAAGCACCTTTGTAATAAAACAAATAGGCTAGAAATAATTGAAATTCAGTGTGGAAATGAATATATGATTTTAAATTTTGAACTTAGATACACTTTAAAAATTGTTGCAGATTCAATAGTAAAATGATCATTTATGTATGTAAATGTGTCAGGTTTCATGCTTAATCTTGGTAGTACAAAAAGTACATCATAAAATGTCTTTAATATCTTAATTTCATACAAAAGAGCAAGAACCATCATTTTATCCAAAAATACCCAAGGATGAAATTGGTTCTCTTTCCAAAACTCTCTCCATAGATTCCAAAACTATATCCAAACATTTTAATGTGCAGACTATAAAACTGCATAGGGTGATTCCATCAAGACTCAGGGTTCCCAAAAAAGAAATATGGCACGATGACTCCAACTGTAATTACAAAGACTTTTCATCATCTAGATGTTTCATTCTTCCAAATAAGGACTGATAGAGTTCAGTTCTGTGGGAATATAAGAAAAACGGCCTTTAGTCATGTGAGGTATAATTGATACAAAGCTGCAATCTTTTGTGAGCCAAAGTTAACAAAAAATATAATAAATTGCAGACTGCAAAACAGCCACAAATGTTATCTGTGCATTCTCAAGCTCCACTTCTTGGATGTGTTTAACAAAAGCAGTGGACATGGATGAGGTGTACTTACTGTGGTATATTGTATACAGTAGTTATATATTAAAACCAAAGCCTGAGAACCACAGTGCTGCATGTGTTAAAATGCACTGCAGGGACAGAGGAGATGTATGCTCCATTCACCATTCCTCAAAGAATACCAAGAGCTCCATGCCAGGCCGACATTCTATGGGCCTTTATACAAACTGAATAAGAAAGCAAATTGCCAAGCACCAGCCTATTGTTCTAAGCCAACATTACACTGTTTCATATTAAAATAAGTGATGTGTATTGATGCTGAAGTCTTTCTTCACATTGCACCATGCACACTAGCATTATTTCAAGCTCCTAGAAGCTATCAGTTTTTTTTTCTGCTCTTAGAAGCTGAATAGCGTTATCTTATGTATCCATGCACGCTATTTTAGGCTAGTAGCATATTTTCAAGCTTCGCCATTGAGGAACAGAAAAAAAAAAGTTTTTGTAGAGTTTTTGGGAGCGTTTTTCCAGCACAAAAAAAACGCTGAATGCTCTTAAAACGCTCCTAACAGCTTTTTTCTAGCCTTTGTTGTTCCCTACATGTGCTGTAAAAATGACAATAAAACTCTAACACTCCTAAACACATCTAAATGCTACTAAAAACTAGCATTTTTTATCGAGTTTTTTCCAGCATATTTTGGGCTTAAAAAATGCTAGTGTGCATGGAGTGAGTGTGGCTAGTCTCCATAGGCAAATCACCTATTGGCAAACCACTGATAAAACGAATGTGAAAAAATTTTAAGCATTCAGCAGCTGCAAATGTTACTGAGATTCTGATTTCCTGTTGCTAAAGGGGATGTTGGGTGAACTCTAGTGAAAGTGCTTTGATGAGGCGAGTGACACTGGCACTGATATTTGATAAGGTGGTAAATCTTATCACAGGTATTCAGTTGGGAAGTAACAGCATAATGGTAGGTAAATCGATAACTTTGCCCCAAAGTGTTACTTGAACTAGGTTTTGGCAGGTGGAATCTGGGAGAAATATAGTGGTCATTATTAACCACTTGCCTACAAGGCACTTATACCCCCTTCTTTACCAGGCCAATTTTCAGCTTTCAGCGCTGTCGCACTTTGATTGACAATTGCGCGGTAATGCAAGATAGTACCCATATGAAATTTTTATAATTTTTTTCTCTCAACTAGAGCTTTCTTTTGGTGGTATTTAATCGCTGCTGGGCACTTTACTTTTTGCGCTATAAACAAAAAATGTTTAAAAAATTTTATTAAAAAAAAAAGCTAATTTTTCGTTGTTTCTATTATAAAATTTTTCAAACAGGTAATTTTTCTCCCTCACTGATGTGCGTTGATGAGGCAGCACTGATGGGCACTGATAGGCAGCACTGAAGGGCACGGATAGGCAGCACTGATAGGTAGCACTAATGAGGTGTCACGGATAGGCGACACTAATAGGCGGCACTTATGATGGGTACTGATAGACAGCACTGATTGGTGGCACTGACTGGCATTACTGTTGGGCACTGGCAGCACTGCAAGGCATTGACTGGCGCAACCGCTGGGCACTGACTGGTGGTACTGACTGGCAGCACTGCATTGATGGGCACTGGTGGATGGCACTGCTGGGCACATGTGGGTGGCACTGCTGGGCACAGGTAGGTGGCACTGCTGGGCACAGGTAGGTGGCACTGCTGAGCGGCACTGCTGGGCACAGGTGGGCAGAACTGGGGGGTGGCACTGCTGGGCACCAATCATCAGGGCACTGATCATCAGTGCCCTGATGATCGGTGCCGATCCCTGCTCTGAGAACTGCTGGTTCTCGGCAGTACTTTCCTCGCGCTCTGACAGCGTGAGGAAAGTGCATTTCCAGGTGATCAGCGTTTCACTGGACATGTCTGATCACGTGGTAAAAGGGCGCTGTGATTGGCCTTTTACCACATCATGTGATCAGCTGTGTCCGTAGGACACAGCGATCATGGAGATCGCCGGGGGACGCGCAGGAGGAGCGCATTCTGGGAGGACGTCATATGACGCCCTCCCAGATCTAGCCGGCCGCAGTGTAGCCGTCATTCGGCTATCTGCGGTTAGCAAGAAGTTAAGATGTATGTAGAGGCAACTTTTTTGCATTTTGGATTGATTACAAGTTAAATTTTTATTGTTATCTTTGTTTCTGCAGTGGGATTTACCCACTTTACTTGTCTTGGTGACTGTTGTCATCAAGACAGAAAGTGGGAAATCCAAATATTTGGAGCAAGAGGTGAAAATCCTCCAAAGGGGACAACTGTTCCTGTGACAACTCTTTAAAGTGATATTAAATTCTTTTTTTAAATAACAAACATGTAATACTTACCTGCTCTGTGCATTTGTTTTGGGGGGAGCTGCACACAGAAGGTAAAAACCTCCAGCCTTCACAACCACTTTATCCCCTTGACGCCGACGTAACAAAAATATGCGGCCTCACAGAACTGGGCTTTTTTCCATGAGGCCGCATATTTGCGTACCTGTCTTTGTGCTGGGAGCACGCTACACGGTGCGCTCCCAGCACAAAAACCACGGTGTCACCGAGAGCACTGGGGCCCGTTCTAATGATCGGAACCCGGGACTCCCAATTCCGGGTAACATGATCGCGGTGATAAAAAAAAAAAAAAAGGGATAAATAATTATAAAAAAAAAAAAAAGAAAAATACCTAGATGAAGGTTTGATCTAGTTCAGTGCCAGGGTTAGTGTTTGGGTCAAAAGTCACGATTTAAAAAAAATGTTTGGTGTAGTGTCATTATGTTTTAAGTAAAAAAAAAAAAAGACAAAAATAAAATGTGCACTATTTTTTCTGGGCTGTAGTATGGGTACAAACAACAAATAACATACACATATATGGTATAGATGCAATCGTCAAGAGCTGGAAAATGTATTTTGGGTTGTTCTATGGAGGTAGGTTATGGTAGTAACAAGAAACACACAACTAAATAAAAAAAAATATTTTGTTTTACTATTTTGGGCCAGTCTTCCTTTGATAAGAAAAAAAAACAGGAGATAGCCATTACCATTTACCACCAAATGAAAGCCCAAATTGTCCTGAAAAAAACAAGGTATAATTCACCTGGATGTACAAAATAGCTGTGATGATATATACAGTTTTACTAACACATCAACGTTGCGAAATTGTGCTTAGGCATTTAGATTTGTTTTACCCTTAGGCGTGAAGGGGTTAAGATGGCAATTCTGTTGAACTATTCTGTTGGAGAGATTTCCTCTCATTTCCAGTTTTGAATCAAGGGCAGGAAATGTCAGAAAAAATCTCCCCAGCAGGAAAAGAAATGCAAAAATCAAAGAAAAAACCTGACTCCTAGGGTTTTAACAGCATTCCCGCTGCCCTATAGTAGAAATACTGCTACAGCGTGGTAGAGTTGCGCAAAATTACGTATATATATATGATTGGCATATCCGGGTAGGGCAGGTGTGCGCGCTACCCTACCGGCACCCATCGATCGCCGAGTAACATGACAGGGGAGAGACCTGTGTGTAAACAATATAGGTCTCTTTCCTGCCAGTAGTAACATGCTTCTGTGTATTTCTCTGCACAGCAGAGAAATACACAGTAGTAGGTTTCCCTAGTAAAAACACACACAGCACAATATGTTAAACAGCACACTGTTAACCCTTTGATCACCCCAGAGGTTAACCCCTTCCTGCCCAGTGTCATTAGTACAGTGTCAGTGCTTTTTATTAGTGTCATTGGGATGTGAGTGGCAGTTAGTCAGTTTCCACTTAGTGTCAGAATGCCACTGCAGTTCCGCTATATGTCGCTGATCGCAGCCATTACTAGTATGCAAAAAATATATAAATATTCCAGTATATATACCCCCATTTGTAGATGCTATAACTTTCACGTACACCAATTAATTTACATGTATTGGGATTTACATACATTTTAGCCTAAATGTATTACGAAATTTGATTTTCTAATTTTTTTTACTGATGTTTTATAGCAAAAAGTTATAAATTTTTTTTCAAAATTGTCAGTCTTTTTTTGTTTATAGCACAAAAAAAAAAAAAAACACACAGGTGATCAAATATCACTGAAAGAAAGCTCTATTTGTGGGAAAAAAGGACATAACTGTAATTCATGTACAGTGTTGCATGGTCGCGCAATTGCCAGTTAAAGTAACGCAGCATCGTATCTCAAAAAATAGCCTGGTCAGGAAGGGGGGTAAATCCTCTGGAGGGCAAGTGGTTACCCCTTCTCTGCTCTATTTAAAACAAACATTAACTTAAGATGCCTAATAGCCATATACATATTTCAGAAGATCACTAACTAAATGTGTATGTGTGAGAAAAAAAAGAAAACAGGTAAACACAAAGTTCACTTCTTAAAACGCACAAAAGATGTACATTCTTTCTATAAATATCAGCTCCTATTAGTCTTTAAATCCAGTCAGATACAGATGTCACACAGAAGGGTACTGAAAACATCCAATGAATCAGTCACACAAATAAATAACCATCTATAAAAGAAACGCATACAATGCTGTCTGTCGCTATTGCAGCAAGGAGTTGGATCTGAAAATTGCTATACTGTATATGAATGTCAAAGCACAAATATTTCAGATTTATAAAGCAGTCTGTGTTTTGACAGATCTATAGCATTACTGAAAAGTATCAGACATACCGTTATCCTCTGCCGTCACTCTGTTGTCATGAAATGGTTAAAATTGAAGCACAATCAGAGGTCAGGGAATATGTCCTCTTATGTGGTTCTTGCCTTCTCCATGCACTGCTATGCCAGTGTAATTTCTAGGTAGTAAGCACCACTTACTGTCCACAGCAGGGTTTACATGTCAGCAGCTGCCGCCGCATTGCTGAAACTGGTATTTTCACAGAGCATCATTTCACACACAGGTAGGCAATGCTGATGAACATGCCGTTTTTCTCACGTCAAGCCAGCCTGGAAAGTTGCCTGTGTTCAAACCAATAGAGCTCCTTTGGGGAACTGTTTGTGTGCGACATAAAATGCACTGTATGGGACTGCACACTGTAATAGCCAGAATCAACTGTGTTATGGATACAAAGGTACAGACATTATATAACCTGCAGTTCTCTGGAGGTTTGATAACAGTAATGCTGCTTATATATAGTTCAATGAGAAAGTATTTTGTCCTCATCTGGATTTCTTGCTGTATGTGAAATTTTAGTTTCTTCAACTAAAATCGTGCAAAAAAAAAAAAAAAAGGTAACTATACAAACAAAATAGTTTTTATTTAAATTATGTATTTTTATTAACTGAATAGAGTGTTTCCCCACTCCAGGTGGCAATACAGTAAGTCCTCAACTTACGAATATTCGAGTTGCGAACTTTCAAAGATGCGAACAAGCATTCACATGCCAAATCACGAAAGTAGCTCACGTTTCTGCCGGACATTGTCAACTGTGTGCACCCTCTGCCACAAACGGTTGTTCTGCTGTGTACTTTACAGTTTAGCAGTGCTTCTCAACCTTTTTTCAGTCAAGACACCCTTTGAATATATGGACAATTTTAAGGCACCCTCTATAATTATGGACAGTCCTGAGGTACCCCATTCTAAAATGTAAAAAACTATTCTAATAGTTTAATAAAATGCAACAGCATCCACACATGTAGGACACCCAATGCTAGAGGCGATTTATTCTTCCAAAGGAAATACACTTTTGCACACTGATCCTGACTAGTATGCCAATGTTTCTCTTCTCCCTCAGTTTTTCTCCATCACTGAGCTAATGTGACCCCAGTGCTGACGGAGAGGATGCAGGGGAGGGTCAAACAAGGATGCTGTGTCATTGTTTGTCAGGATGCCGAAGGCTAGAAGGCTGCAATGGTGCACAACGAAGACCTGTGGCTTTGTGTAACTAAAGGTCAGGCTTCTTCCACCCGCTGGCTTGTATACAAGTTTTGGGCAACTTTTAGACATTTTGCCAAGGCACCCCTGAAGAAACCTCAAAGCACCCCAGGGTGCCTGGGCACTCTGGTTGAGAAAGGCTGCTGTATAGTATAGTGTACAGAAGTACAGTGTTGATTTCAAGCCTAGGATGTCTGGAAACAAGCATAAAAGCAGCAGTCTTGTCTGGTCACCCCTGTATGTCAGCTCTTGTACTGTACTACTGTACTTTTCAAGGTACTGCAAGATTAAACCTCCTTTCTTTACATTATTTCTTGTGTTTGTTTTTTATGCATTATTTGTGTGAAAAATATTATAACTCTTACTTTGTTGGACTTACAAACAAATTAGACTTACAAATGAACTCCCAGAATGGAATGGAACTTGTTCGTAAGCAGGGGACTTACTGTATATGAAAAAGTAATTGTTCCCTACATCTTACACCCTGATCACACCGATCTGACTTTTAAATTACGTGACTTCCAGTGAAGTCGCACAGTTTCAAAGTTGGATGTCATTCCGACTTGAGGTGTGACTTGCAAGATCTGCTGCTTGCAAGATACAGTTGTCTATGCAATTTGCCCCTGAAGTAGTACATGCACTACTATAGAAATTGGTGCGGCTCTGACCAAGTCAGAATTGCACCGATATGACCACTTTAATTGCCGACAATAGGGTGCGTCTTGCCATGCAATTTGCAACTCGCATGCATGGCAAGTCGCACCCGGTGTGACCAGGCACATAAGTTCCACTATCCGGAAAAATGTTTTACCGCAATTTTTCAATGTGGTTTCCACATGTAAAAACAATCAGTATCTGAAATTTTGTTTCAATATTTATTTATTTTTTTCTCCACATTTACATGCAGCCCAAACCGTCTAAAAAAACTGACAATGATAAGGATTGAATCAAACATTGCCCAATACAGTTAATTAAAGACATTATCTATGC